TTTAAATATATAAAAGTCAAGCAAAATCAATATTTAGGACTGTTAGCAATGGAAGTCTGTCTACAGCTATATCACTTTACTACAATAAAATATTTTAAAACCATGAGACTGGCAAAGTTTTCTAAACAGCATAAATTTCTTTGCCTTTTGAACTAAATCAGACACACACTTCTGAGAATCATCTCCCTAAGACTCTCTCGTTCCCCGCTTTGTCATTTTTAGTTGAGTCTTTAAAAAGGGAGCCTAAATTTAGCTTCGAAGAAGTAATCCACTGGTTTCTTTTGGTGTTGGACATTACATTTTTCAGGTAGCAATGTGTGAGCAAACCTTGCAGCTTTCACAGGTGAGGAGCCCATAATGGTACCCAGACACTTTATCTCCACATACGGGACAAAGCTCTTCCAGATCTTCATCATAGGAGTAATTCACCATTTTAAATTGAGACACTGAAACAAAAGAAAAATGTATACACATATTCAATTAATTTACATGTAGGTGTTAATGCAGCAACAACAAGCATTTTGGTGATTGCTGGGCAAATATCACATGGTAAATTATAAAATAAAAATATTTTTTAGCAAGGCCTTACTGAACTATTTTTACAACTAAAACATCTTTTGTCAATGAGCATGCACCTTATGAAATTCCGTGTGCCACAAACAATTCCAACTTCTTTAGTTAACATTTTTAACTGACCGCTTTTGAACACAAGTCTCATAACTCCACCAAGCAACAAATAGAAAAATGAACTGCATAAAGTAACAGCTTAGAATTTCTTTTAAATACCTATGAAGTTAAGTTCCAAAATGTCACCTTCGCCTAAGTTAGAGAAACAAGCGTAGGCTTTATTCCCTCCCTCTTGAAGTGGTTTGCTCCGAGCGCACCTTGCTTAGAGGGACAGCAGCACCAATTTGCAAACTCTGTCCGACAGAGAAACTGAAGCCCCAGAAACTCGCTTCTCAACAGCACCCCACTTGAACTAAACAGCCTGAGGCTCCCAACGTTCAGCCCTGTTAGAATAATCGAAACATTCAGTTCCGTATTGACAGTACTTTTCTATTCTAGATACTTTCATCTCCTCACGATTGAAAATCTGTGAAAATAAAAAGAAGGAAAAAGAAAATAGAGGACGCCGGTACGGGGGGAGAAAAATACCAGAAGAGTAAAAGGCACACAGGAGGGTTTTGGTTTCAAAGTATCGGAGCCCTGTAATGAACCTCACATGTTTCCGATCATCATAGCAAACTATAAACACCTCGAGATCGCCTGTTAAAGTTAAACAGAAATCAGGCCGCGGCGACGCGCGGCGCGGCTCACTGCCAGGATCGGGTAACCGCCTTGCTCCGAACGCAGCCCCGCGAAGGCGTCTTCTCAGCTAAAAAGATGACCAACTATGCACAGGAAGGGCACTGACCAGGAGACCCCAGGAAGTACCTGATCGGGTATTTCCTGGAGACTCCACATCCACACGGGTCAAGTACGGGAGCGCCGGGCACGGGTGGGCGGGCACCCGCAGGTCTACGCAGCCGGGACCCTGCCCGCACTCCCCCGGACACTCTTCCGCCAAACCCGTGGGCTCACCCGGCTCTCGCCCAGGCTCTACCTCCAGCTACCCAAGTGCGCACAAACACTGAGCAGAGTTTGTTTTTAGTTAATCAGTGGCGTTTGCAGGGGGTGGGGCGGGCAGGGGATGGGAAACCCACGGCCTGGCAGAAGTTTCCTCTGATTTGTTTACCAAAAAGGAAAGAGAAATAGCCCCCACCCCAACGCCAAAGTCCTCGGCCACTGTATAGCCGCAGTGATGACTTGTTCTTTTGAAAATGAAGTTCTTTTCTTTCTCTTTGGTTCCCGAGGGCTTCAGTCGGAAAGGGCCGTCGAGGGGGGTCCCTTGCAGCACTCTGCGGCTGAGGACTGCGCGCAGACCTGCGGAGTTACGCGTCTCTTCCCAGACACACAGCCCTAGGCTGGCGCTTACAGGGGAGTGAGTTAGTCAGTTTGGGAAAATTCTGGGAAAAGAGGCTCCAGAGAAGGCAGGAGCCTGCCTTCGTGAAATATTAATAAAGGGATGCTAGGTGCAGTCTTCCCAGTGGTGCCAGCCTGAATCCCAGCCCCAAGAGACCCCCACTAGGGTTTTAGGAACCTGGGGTTTGAGAAGGGCCGAGGGTTCAGAAATTCCTTTATAGCCTCTAGAAGTTCATAGCTCTCCTAGCACTCGCGATGACAATCTTGAGGCATGTTTTAGCAACAAGGCGAAAAGCGCACTTTCCCAAGTGTGTTCTTTTCTACCTCCCTTTCCGCCAACAAAGTAGACTCTAACTTTACACCAAAGGGGTACAGATAAGTAACTGCTTTCAGGCGGACTCCGTGCCTACCTCGGGGACCCAACATCGAAAAAAGACCGAAGCATTCGGTAGGGTCCTTGTTGGAAAACCCAAAGACAGGGGCTGAGTAGGGAGACGCTGCTGTGCGAGGCCTGGGCACCTTTCAGAGTTTCCCAGGTGGCCTGGTGCTGCCGAAACAGGCGTTTGGCTGGGCGAACCCATCGGGTCAAAGAAGGCCCCAGACTCTTCCTCAGTTATGGTTTAGAGAAAGAAGAGCGGCTGGCGGTGCCTTGGAAAGCCTTGGAAAGCTAGGGCCTCAGAGAGGCGCACAAAGTTCCCTCAAAGTTGGGCGCGCTGCGCTGTCCCGGGCCCCAGCAGTGGACCTTCTTTCTGGGCGTCCCAGGTGGGAACCAGAGCAAGCAGGACAATGGGATCCCCATTCCCAGGGGCTCCTCCGGACAGACAGGCCTCTAGTCCCCGACAAATCCTTGCCCCGGCGCTTTCCCTGCAAATTTTGAACCACGGGCTGAAGGAGTGGCGACTTTGAGCCCAGGCACCAAAGAAAACCTAATTCTCTGGTTTGGGGGCAGTAGGTAGTGTGTCCAGAAGACACCTCTCGAACTTTCTAAAGGAAACATTACTAATAACATTTTCTCTCTCCGCTCTCAAAATAAGCCTTTGGCTTCTTGCGCCAGAACGAGAAGCAGAAACTTTCCTTTTGGACCTCACCCAGCGACCCCAAGGGAAGGCCCTCTTCGGAGCTGGCAGCTGAGGCCCCCGAACCCAGCCTCCCCGCGCCACTTCCCCAATGCCCCACACTAAGCTGGAATTCCAGGTACCCGGAAGAAACGCTTCTTTGGACCAGCCGGGTTCCCCTAGCAGCCGTAGTCTCTGGGGCCTCAGCTCCAGGGGACTCTCACAGCCCTACCTAGAGGCTTGGAGAGACCCCAGGATGACCGAGGGGGGAATGGATTACACCCGCATGACGTTCGCCCTCCAGCCAAGTATCTTCCCCTCCGCGGTAGGGCGACGACAGGTCCCCGGGCCTGAGCGCCAGGGCGCGCCTCCCACTCAGCACCGCAGAGTGCACCAGCCCTGAACTCTGCTCTCAACACCTCCCGGCCCTTTCAAGTTCGCGCAAGGGGATGGCAGGAAGCGTTCCGGGATCACAGGCCCGCCGGCCCGCACATCCTGCACCCTGGAAGGGGCGAGGATGGAAGAGCACCGGTGACTTTTCCTAGCATTGTTCCCTCCCCGGCCCAGAGCAAATGAGATAAACTTCTGAGGGGCTTAATACAAGCCAGATCTAGAGTTACTATTTTGGAATGCGGAGAAAATATAGCCAGCGGGAGTTGTTTTTTTCTTGGCAATCTAGAGCTGGGAAAACGAATGGGACTTCCATATTTTCAGAACTCAGATTTAAAAGGGGCCCAATAAACGAACTGCTTCCCCCTCCCACATCCAACTCACTCGGCACAACGCGCACAGGGGATGAGTTTGGGGTAACTGGTTCCCTTCGGCAGTTTTGAGCTGACCAAATCCGAGCCGGCTGCGGGTGTCCGCCTGGGCTTTTGGGGGTGGCCACATACATTCTAATACCGCTAAGACAAGCCTTTCGGGGATCACCTCTTTCTGTAGTAGACTTTCCCATACTGGGTCGTCTCTCTCCACATAAGAGCATTGGTTAAAGTACAGCACACAACAATTCCAATAACGGAGAACCTGCTCGGGTTTCCAGTGAGACATTCCATTTCTTAGAATGATCTTGTTATTCTAAAGTACCTTTAGCCTGAAGCTGCCCTGCTTGGGTTGCCATAGAGCTGGAAGCCTCTCTTTCCTTAATTAGAAGAGGCCAATTAGGCGTTGCTGGGAAAACCTCTGCCCCGCATTGTTCAAGAGCCATAAACTTTTATGCCTGCACCTGAGGAGGGGGCTTGACTCCCGCTGCCGCAAGCGCCCAGCCAGGCTACTCCCGCACCCGCGCGGGTCTGGAGGCTGAAGCCTGCAGGGCGAGCCCAGGGGTAGGGAAGCCGCGGGAGCCCGAGCGCTGTGCGGCGCCTTCTTACCTTGCATGTTTTCCGGCATCTGGCCCTGTTCCCCATGCGATCGAGCCAGTCCTAGGGCTTCCGTCTCCACTTTGGGCAGCATGACAAGGCGGCCGCGGGCGGGGATGGGGGGTCTGTGTCGGTCCGGAAGCCCAGCACCTGGACACGGGCAGCACAGATTCAACTCCGGAGGAAAGAAGGAAGGGGCGACCGGGGTGCCCGCTCACCCACCCGCTCGCCTCGCCCGAGTGTGCCTCCGCCTGCTTGGGGTTGCCAGGCAGGACCTCTGAGCCCTGTCGGGTCTCGCGGCTCCGGAGCCGCCCCCGAGCTGCGAGGAGGAGGTCGGGGTTAAGAAAGGAGGCGAGGAAGACAGCGTCCCGGCACCCTGGTTCGGCTCCCCCAGAGCGCAGGCGGCGGCGGTGGCGGGGACGCAGCTGCCCGGGGCGCGGAGCCGTGAGCCGCCGAGCTCCGGGCGGGCAGCGGAGGCGACCGCTGGGCTGCTACTGCAGCCGCGGCTGTGCCGTTGCCACCGCTCCGGGACGACTCCTGCGACTCCTTCCTTTCCCTCCACCGCCCGCTGCTCAGGATCGGCAGGGGTCTCTCTGCTCTTTCTCTCGCCTCCCTTTTCTCTCCGCACCTCTCCTCTCTTCGCCTCTCCGCCCCTTCCCCCCGTCTCTCTGTGCCTCCCTCTCGTTCACTATCACAAGTGTGGAGTTGTGAAGTTCCAACCTCCCTCTCCTGCCTCGTGCACTCCCCGCGCGGGTCCGAGAGCGGCCCTTCCCAGCCCCGAGGGTGACGGTGCTGGGAAGGACAGGGGGAAGACGAGGAGGAGAAGGAGGTAAGTAGGGCCGGGGGTGGGGGGAAGGCTGGGATGAGGGGTGAAGGCAGTGAATGGGAACGCGGGTTCCGGACTCAGGTCGGACACTAATCGCCAGCCAATAAGGATGAGGCGCTGGCTGCAGTCCCCCGGCCTGCCCCAACCTCTGCACCCGCCTCGCCCCCTCCCACCCCACCCTGGCCCGGGGCGGGGGATGTAAATGCAGCCGGGTCTTACAGCTAGTCAGAAGCGACCTCTGTCTGAGCGCGGCGGCGAAGGAGAAGCAGCCAGAGCGGCAGTTTCCTCGAGCTGAGGGAAAGCAAGAGGGGATGGGGGCGCGTGTGGGCGTGTGCCCTCGCTCGTGTGTCTGATGAGGAGATGAAGGGGAGGTAAACACCCATTTAAACCTTCGAAAGAAGAAAAGGGATCTTGAATTCAGCTGGCCGTTCTGAAACGCAGAGTTGGTCCGCGGTCAAGGGTCTTTCAGCTTTAATGCCCCAGGTCACTGAGACCCTGGAGAGGAGACACGAGGGCCCCGGCGGCCTGAAGGGGCCGAGGGTCCCAGCTTACTGAGAGGCGGGCCACACCGCCAAGAGCTCACTCATTAGAATTAGCGGAAGGGACAGCCACTCCTATTTCCCCAGCCTGCTCCCCATTCCCTTAGCTCATTTTTAAAAGACCCTCAACTGGAGCCCAGGATCATCTAAGCGACAGACTTTCCAGGTTTAGTGAACTGTGTTTCCACGCAGAATACAAGAATCAGTCTAGGCTTTGCTTTTTCATTCTGTTGTCTGATGGGACCATCCACTTGAGGCTGAGGCCCAGCATTTAAAAAGTGTTTTAAAGAACCATCTGTTCAGCAAGCTCTTCGACCACCAGCCCAGCCGCATCTTCAAAGTTTTCAGATCTCCTCCCAACTAGATGAAAAACATTCTTTCCAGCCTCCTGACTGCATGTGAAATGCCTCATATTCAGGGTCTGCTGTGTAACGAAGTAATTATCAGAGTCCACCCACAAGGGGGTGAATTTGAATCTCAAAAGATCTGAGTTTATTCTACTTGAATAGTACAGAGATTACACATTGAAACTGCCCAGTCTAGTATTTGGTGAATTGGAAATTATTCCAATCACTGCAGTGCATAATTTCTGTAGGGTGGGTTGTTCACCACCCACCCACACCTGGCGATTCAGGTACTACTGACTCTTAACTGATTTGTCATTTTGCTCTTCAATATATATTTAGAATCAAAGTTATTTAGATTTCAGCTTTAGTAGCAACTTCAGGTTTTTTTGTGGAAACATTTACATTTTTGAAGGCCTGTCCATTAGTTTGTATGGAGAAGTAGGCTGAAGTTGCCAAAAGCTCCAATTTTCATGACAGTATCTAGTAACACGGTCACCAAATTTCAGTATTCATGGTCGTTTTAAGTATCACTGAGAACTAAGAAAATAAAGAAAGGGAGTCGACTTCAGAGCTTATGGCAGTGCTTGCCTTGCTTTGCTCATGAACTTTGAAACTCAGTTTATTTCAAAGCATTAACTTAGGAACAACCTCCTTCCACTGAAATTCAAAGAGTTTACGGGGGCATGTATGATACAACACCTTGCCCAAATCCCAGCCTAGCAAGGATGCAGGACTCCAGACCCTCCTTGGTCATAAGAGGAAGCCTCCAATCCCCAGTGTGTAGTGGTGATTTCACTACTTGGTGAAGGTGGGGGAAGTTAGGAGAGTTGAAAGAAGTTGAAAGAGGGTCTGATAGGTCCTTGAAATTGTGGTATGCCAAGAAACCCTGCCTTGACTTGAGGTTGAGACTGAGGCTGAGGCTGACCCAGTGAGGCAAACTTTGTGAGCATGCTCACAACGCCAGCTGCAGGGCCAGAAGGGACTTGCATAGGCCACGCTAGCGACTTCTAGGTCCGTGCGGGTCTGCCCTCCCACCCCATCCCCAAGAGATGGAGAACGGTAGTGGCAAAAGGCCAGCTGGCACTCATTTACCTCTCCACAGGTAGACTTTTCCGGAAAGAAGAACTCACAAAATGGGAGGGATGCGCGAGGGAATAGTGGCTGGGGACCGGGGTATTAAAAATGCATGCTTTAAAAAAAATGACGGAGGAGCTTGTGTCACGGAAGGAAGCCCTTTACCCTGCTTTGAAAGTCTAGTCCAGGCGGACTAGAAGCGAACTGAAGGGGGACTGGAAGGGCAGAAAGTCTCAAGCGAGAGTAAACGGCCTTTTCTAAGCACCAAGGGAACTCCTAGCCCAGAAGCCTAGCCCTCGGCGCTCCAGGCCTCCACCTGGACGACGGGAAACGCTCCCTGGAGGCAGCCTTATTTCAGATCCCCTGGAGGGGTGTCAAAATCCCTGCCAGAGGTGGACGAAGCAAGGAATCTTTTACTGGAATTGATTCTTGCCAGAGACCCGAGGGCACACAAACCTTCCTCGGGTCGCTCCGCAAGAGAAGGAAACGGTGGAGTCTCCCTCCCGGAGGCAGACGCAGAGGAAGGGGCGGCGGTACCAGGCTCCCAGCGTCAAGCTCATTACTGCCCTCCAAGGGCACCCTTTCTCCGCCTTCAGAACTCCCTCCTTTTTCCGAGCACTCTCTGGTCCTTTGACCCTTCAGTTCTGCTGGGCAGGGACCCCTATTGAAGGCGGGGAGCACCTAGCTCAGTGACCTTGGATCGGCTTGGGCGCCCCCCAGAAAGCTCTCTCCGAAAGGAAGCTGTGGGAGGAGGAGTTCTCGGTGTCTAAGATGGGTTACTTGGGAATGGCTCTGGGTTCCCGGGGCCGCAGTATGAAGAGAGCCAAGTGGCTGCGGGAAGGGAAAGCAGTTGAGATGCAAGTAGGAGGAACCGGCTCTGTGTGGTCTAAACGCCAGAGCCAGCGGTGCCTGGACTGACCCATAAACACACCTACCGCGGACGGACAGACGCATCTCATCCTCTGCCGGGGACATCTTAGCAACTGCCACGCTACCTCCTAGTGGACGCACACTTAGAAACCCACCCGGTACTTACCGCTGCGGGAACTGTAACTGGTAGCGGAGACCAGAGACTAGAACCAGGGAGGCCTGGGAGTCGGTGGTGGGGGCGAGGGGACAGCTCTGTTCAACTACCTTGCGCCTTCTCAATTTCTCTGCACTCCCTCTGCCAACTTCTGGCAAACTTCTCTCCTTTCCCCCCACCTCACCTACACCTTTTTCTTTCCAACGAGACCGGTCTCCAGAGCTCGCCCTTCCCGGTTCTGACTTTGTCTTAAAGTGTTGATTGACGGTTGCAATTACGAAGGATGATGGCTCGGGGAGGCTCCCGCAGCCTTGATGAGCCCGGGAAGCGCAGTCCTAGCATATTTTATCCACGCTTGGCGTTTCGGGGCTGTGCGCGCCCCATTCACCCAGCTGGCTGGAGCGGAGAAGGTCTCGCACCCCCCACTCGCTAGGATGCAAACTGCCTGCCTTCCTCCGCCTCCACCTTCCCGGGGTTCAGCGCTGCAGTTCCAAGCGCGCGCTGAGAGAAGTCAGCCCTCCACCTGACTTGAGAAGGGTCGGTCGGTCCCCACGAGCTGGACCCGTGCGGGCAGCAGAGGGACAAAATATCAGGATTTTCAGCAGCGGTTCAAGTTTCCTGGGCTCTCAAAAGGTGTGGCAGACACACCTTGCCCGCGCGCCTGGGTAATGACCCACCCAAACTCTCACGAAACTTGCAAAACCTTCCTCCTTGGCAACAATTTCTCCCGTCTTCTCTTCCATTCCCACCTTTTGGTGCTTTTAAGAAACCAGGACAATCACTTTTTTCGTCCAACATCTCTACTTTTTAGACCCCGGAAGAAGTCTAGATTTTTTTCAGGTCTCCATTACTAGGCCGGGATAGCCCAAGGGGGAGGAGAAGCAAGTTTATCAGCCTACGGAAGCTCCGGGTCTGCCTAATTTTTCCACCCCTCCCAGCTGAAAAGCCCATCAGAAGCCGCTTTTGCCTTTCTCTGAAAAGTTTAGCCAGAATTCCACTTTCATTCCTGGGCTCTGGGGGCTGGGCTTCCCGCCCACACCCGCCCTCATCCGGAACGCTTTGTATTAAAAAGAGACCGGTTAAATTTCAGTACAGCCATATGAATTACCATGGAGCGTCATGTTGACCGAAGCTTTAAAAAAAGCAAACTTGAATAGGTGAGAAGTCGTGCCTAGCTATAAAGAAAAAAAAAAAGGCTTTCTGCTGCACGTGTAAATGTCTACTTAAGACATCAACTTGAGCCCTTAGAGCGGGAGGATGGCCATTGATTCACAGTCACTATGAGAGTATCTTGACCTGGCGTGGCGCGCTTTTTAACGCGGAGGAAAACGAAAGCCGAAGCAATTATCTGAGCAATCCAACCTACCCCATTCGCCACCCAGGCAACCTCCCAACCTTGTCCCAAAGGAAACGAGGGGTTTTTGGAGAGTTTGGCCTGGATTTTGGAATCTACTGCTCTTTATATAAACAGTGCACTGGCCGGGCGCGGTGGCTCAAGCCTGTAATCCCAGCACTTTGGGAGGCCGAGGCGGGTGGATCACGAGGTCAAGAGATCGAGACCATCCTGGTCAAC